CTCTCTCTCTCTCTCTCTCTCTCTCTCTCTCTCTCTCTCTCTCTCTCTCTCTCTCTCTCTCTCTCTCTCTCTCTGTAATTTCAGCCATCTCACCAGTAAACTCACCAGTCTTAAACACCGAGTTAACATTATTATCACTACGGCAGAATTGCTTAACTTTCCGTGACGTTAGAGTTCGTTTCTCGCGGAACCGGCGAGCAATAAACTTCGATAACGATAATAATAATCGGTTAGCCTAAAAAAAGGAAGTGACCGGGAGGAAGAAGTGTGGAAGAGTGTGGTGGTTGGGTGATCCGGATGAAAGTATGAACTTGAGCAGATATCGAACGAGTCTTCTACAAACTCGTAACACGGATAAACGTATTCTCGTTTCTTCCCCTCGTTTTACCTCTTCTTCTTTGTTCTCGTCTTACCGCTTTCAGTCGAAACGAGTCCGTATTCTACGCATCTTACTTTTTAGATGAAAGACGTGCCACATTTCACCGACGCGAAGAATTTATCTTTGTTAGCAAAAGAATATTCTTAAGGTTTCAAGAGTGGTACTCCATTTTGTATCTGTTCACTATTTCACTTCTTCTTCCACTTTTTTTCACTTCTTTCATCAAATTCTTTTCGTTTCCAACACTTAGACGCGCACTTGCCTCTTACGTATATTTACACTATTTCACTCAATTATATCATTCACGCACGATCAAACGTGCCACTTTCACATAGTCGATTTTCACTTTTTACCGATCGAGCAGATTATCTTTTCACCCCAGAAATGTTTCCAATTTGTACCAGGATCCAAATGATAGACAGATCGTAATAATAGACAGAGCGCAAACTCTGGCCACGCGGACAGATTCGATTCGATCGAACCGCAACTCCAATCCGATTTTCAAAATTCCACCCACGTGGCGGTTTGTTTGCGTTCCTATAAGCTCTTGGAAAATTCGATTCCTCTCCACGTATTCCGGAAAATTCCATTACAAGGCGACCATTTCGAAAGTATATCTAAAAATTCCCTCATTCGCGGATCCATATCGATTATTTTCTTACTCCATAAAAATGGGTGGCTTCTTTTTCGTGGATCTCTCGTGGCTAATCGAATTCGTACAATCTCGAGAGAAAGTTGTTCTGGATTGAATAATAACTTGTTGAGTTTTCGAGCATGAAACAAAAATGGCAAATGCACATTGTGAAAAATATGTTTCCAAATTCGAACAATCCCTTATCCTCTCTTCGAACCACAAACACTTGCCTTTGACAAGAAATTATTATCCGTGGAACACGTGATTCGATGAAGCCTCGCACCTGATCAATCCATTACGCGCTTTGTTCAACCAGCATTTGGTATCTCATATCTAATTCTCCTGGATGAGAGAGGATCTTGTCGTTCTCTCTCAGGCTTCTTGTTCCACCAATCGTGTCCGTATCCATGTTTTCCTTGGATTAATTCGACCTACATATACGGATAGTTTCCTCCTCCTCCGTTTCACGACAGATCGCTTTCTCCCCCTCTCGAGAACGACGATAATCCTGAGACTGAGTCATCAAACGATCCAACCAGTCATCACCACGCTCCATCGAAACTTCCACCCACTATTCTCGATCTCGTCCCAATCCTCAGTTCCTGCTTCGATCCGTGGTTAAAACTTAGACGTCCATAGCGTCTCCGACGTAGCCCTCGTCAGGACTTTCCGGATGATGAGGAGGCTGAAGATCCTCCGCCCTGGCGGCCGCGGCTGCGGCAGCCTCTCGAGCAGTTTTGCTCAACAGTGATCTAGGCGAGAGCGGCGTGGTCTCGCCCCTGTACGCGGCTGGTGGCGAAGGGATGAACGGCACCTCGGGGAACACGGGGACCGGCGACACCGGGGAAACTGGTAGCTGCTGTTGGATCGGCTGCTCGACCGGTTGGATCGGCTGCTGGGCCGGGTAAGGATATCCCTCGGCTGTGTATCTGGTGTCCGTTCTGGGGAGGACAGGGTCGTATCCCGGCGACCTGGCCAAGAACTCTGCCTCTCTCGAGTACCTGGCAGGTGGCGCGACAGCGGTGCCCTCTACCGGCATTCTTTGCCTCAAGCGGGGCAGCGTGCTCGCAGCGCTGAAAGGGATCTTGGGTAGGCCGAAGTTGAGCGGGTAGCCGTCCTGATCGAGATAGCTAAGCTGGGGTATGTTGGATGGGCGCAGATCGGGTTGCAGCGGGTATCCGGAGTCGTATTCCAGAATCTGTCTCTCGCCTGGCTGGTGTCGATACAATTGGCCGTATCCCACGTCGGTCGTCTCCGGGACCTCGTTTATCAGATCGGGCTCCGTCAGATACTTTGACACCGGGCTGCAATAAGGCTCCTCCATGTTTCTGTGCTCCCTGCGCTCGAGGGTCGCGGCTCTGCTCATCTCTCGCTCGGTGTACGAGACCATCTGCTGGTGCTCCAGCCCGATCAGGCTACCGTTACCCTTCCTGCAAGGCAGACTGGTCGTCGTGTCTTTGGTAATAGGCATGACGGATTTGTTCTGCGAGACCAAGGCTTTCGAGTTTCTCTTGCGGTCGCGGCGACGCTTCCGGACGCAAAACACTATGCTGCCTACCAGGGAGGCGAGAGCGAACAGGGTGCCCACGAGGACGCCCGCAGCTATGGCGAGCACGTAACCCGACCTCAAGTGGTCGTTGGGCGGTTCCACGGTTATTCTCTCCTGGAACAACACCCGCAACGACAGATTCGCCTCGGCCGAGCCTGCCCCGTTTTCGGCTATGCACGTGTACGTCCCTTCGTTCAGAGTCTCGACGGAGTAGAGAAGAAGGGCGCTGCTCATATTGGTTCCACCGCGCTGCCTGTAGACGTACCTGCAACGAGATCGTGGAATTTGATCGAAAACGTGAAAGCAGGGGGTATTATATAATCGCGGAAATGGAAGTTAATCTTTCGCCGTGATTGAATTCCGTTTCAAAGGCGCGTATAATTTGAAATCAGAATCGTGTACCCGTTAACAACGGCTTTCTTCCCTTCCACTGGAATCGGAATTCCAGCATTAAACTCGGCAGATACGGGATTTTTATACGCTTTTAACGACTCGCCGCGATGGTAAATGCCCTCAAAGGGCCCTCTCTCCCGGTATCGGCAACGTACCCACTTAATTCGAGACGAGATTCATTAAATGCTCGCGCTTTTGAAAACTATACGCAAGTTTCGAGCAGCCGTTCTTTGAACGCCGTTCCATGTTCGACTTTAATTTCTATCTTTTAATCTTTCGTTCTCGATATCGCGCAATGCTAAGTAGATATGAAGAACGAGTGATATGATCGCTTGAAATAAGTCGTAAATTATTTGTTGCGTGAGAAAATGTTTCATTAACTTTTTTAAGTAAGTGGAAGACTAAAATATTGTACTAAAATATTTTTAACGTAACAACGATAAATGCAGCAAAAGTTATATAAACAGTATCAAATTTAGGCTTGAATGTTTTAAGGATTTTTTATATAACATTATTCTAATTGCATTTTAAAATTAATTAAGAAATAATTAAGTTTCGAAATGGCATAAATATTTCGAATGAAATAATATTTAATAACAAGTATTTCATCGGAAAAGTAAATAAATGTATTCTCAATTAAATAGTTTAATTAACATTTTCTGAAATAAATTACTTGATTTCGGTGAAAATAACTAATTTCTTAATATACATTATTTATTTTCTTATCTCGTTCTTACCTCTCTTTTTAATTGTCCATTTAAAATAAATTCGTAAATCACATACTTGAAATGTTTCATTTTTCTTTTCTATTCGTCGAAACGTTATGCATCACGTGCAAATCGGATAATTAACGAGGTAGAAATTTCCTTAATAGTTACAGTGGAAGACATTTCGTATGATTCGTCATCGGACAATTATAATCTTGGAACGTTTCACAAACCTTTAAAATTTCGCTGAGATGTCGGTAAAAATTGTCGATTCTCGCTCGCGCCACCAACGGTGGCGTCGTTAATTAGAATACTTTCGTGATTAACGAGCATGACGGGCGTCTTTCGGAAGAGCTCAGACGAAATTTGACGCGAAAACGAACGAACGAATGCAGCAAAGTTTGTTCGGAATGCAATTTTCGCCAACGATCTCGATAATAAGGCAGCCGACTGATTTCCTTTGAAATTTTGTCGATGTGTTATTTTCTCACGAATTTTAATAGGATCTCTTTCGAACATTTTTTTATGACGTGTAACGATTCACAGTGGAAAGTATTCGAGATAAATTTTTTATGTGACTTGATATGTTAGATTTAAATAAGAAAATATGTTTTTAATTAATATATGATGAATATTGAGATTGCATATGTGAATTTTTAACAAGGTATCAATTTAACAAAGTAAAATGGATCATTATATATAGTTTCAATGCTCTTTTACGATACGGAATACAAGAAAAATTTTAAATATGTCTATGAAATTCAGATTTTAGTAGATATAAAAAAGTATTTCCAGGTAAAGCTGTATTTAAAACATGAAAAAATGCTGAAACTTTGAGGATGAATTTTAAAAGAGGAAAAATTTTTTTTAAAAAAGAATATTCCATATATGTATAATCCATTATGCTCATACACACGAACTTCTATTAAAATATAGATTTTTTGTTTCGTATATTTTCTCTTTTCTCTCTTTATAAAAAATGTCATTCAAATATATTTGCAATTATTAAATTATAAAATATTTAAGTAATTTATGCAAATGAAAATTGTTATAAAAATAAAAGTATAAATAAATAGAATTGAAATAAAGATTGCAATATTTGAAAAAATTTAGAAAATTAATAATACTTATATATTAGCCTATCTACATATTTAACCTAATTCGAATCCAACATTAAATGGCCAGCTATTTCATTCAATATCTTTATTCATTTCTAAAAATCATGAGGAAGAAACAAAATTATTCAATTATTAATTATTTTATTACCTTTTCTTTATTTACTATTTTTACTTTAATATATTATGCCATTTCCTTTATTCATAGGTACGTCAAAACAAAATAATGAAAAGTTTTATTTAAATTCATGAGAAGGTAACGCATCGACAAGTTGAAATATTTATCGATGTTTTATTTAGGTTGCAAACGATCCTATACGAGAGCCATTTATCATACTTCCATCGACGAGAAGAAGTAGCCAGGATTGTATTTCCGTAGGAAATTTTAATATTCTTCGTGGTTCACCAATTCGACCGTTATTGTTATCGTTTCGTCCATAATATGATATTCGGAATGAATATTCAGATCGTTTAGCGGAAATATTATTTCAGTGGATATCGTATTTTGATGTATTGATTTCATATTAAGAATACGTATTTATCGAATTTGGAAATTATTCGAAACAAAATATTATTGAAATATATAAAAATAATTCAATTCAACGTGAATAATGTGTAAATGCGAATTGAATAAAAAAAAAATGTTAAATGCAATAAAATATGATATTTTCTACAATATGCCAATATTTGTATAAATCCTTTATACAAGATGAATTCTCCACAATTTAAAAAAATGAACACAGTATTTTGTGCAAAGTAATAAAATCATTCTAATATTCCTGTGGGATTATGCCAATGCAATTATATTAAACTAAATATTGAAAATCATTAAAAAAGAAAGAAAGTTGAGAACCACTGTCGAATAAATTTTAAGAATGTACATGAAGATTTCCACAGTGTCAAACTTGGTAGAAAACCTGTTAAAGTTAATGATTTGAATGACGTGGACAATCAGAATGAATTTGAATGATGACTCAAACTTTACTCGAATGATTTTGATCGAAGGAAAGTAACGATAGAAAATAGCTTACAGAATTTTAGTGAAGATGCAAGGCACTGTAAAACATTCTCGCATTCCCTTACCTTCTTGCCTAACACAGGAACAGTCTCAAGTGAAAAAATATTCCGTGGAATATACTCACCGAGGATAAGCCGAAGACGAAGCGGAATCGTTCTCGTTCTGCAGTTCGCACAACTCTCCGTTAAACCACCAGGTGAGCTTGGCAGCCGGCACAGCGTAGACGTCGCACTTGAGAGTGACATTGTCCCCCTCGTAGGCCTCGATCTGATCCTGCAGCTCGATCTGCGGCAGGCAAGCGAGCTCGTTCAACTTCACCTCCTTGATCTGTTTACCCCGAAGTTTCGGCGGAGCGTCGCAGACTGGCTCAGACTCTTGAGGGGCAGCGGGTGCCGACTCCTTGAGCCAAGCTTGGGTGGCCTGGAGACGACAATCGCACAGCCAGGGATTGTTGTGCAGCGTGAGGCCCCGAAGGCTACCTCCTAGAGGCAACGTGAGATCGGGTACCCGGGTCAATCGATTGCCATCCAGTCGCAGCCACTCGAGTTGGTGTAGGCCGTCGAACGCCCCCTGCTCGACGTTCTCTATTCGACACTGGCTCAGTTCCAGGTTGGTCAGATGCACCAGATGCTGGAACGCTCCTCGACGGATCTCCCTTACAGGATTTCCGTTCAGCAACAGTTTCATCAGATTCGAGTAGGATGGAAACGTCTCGGTCGGTATCTCCTCGATCAGGTTCTCGGAGAGGTCCAACTCCACCAGACCCACCAGGCCGACGAAAGCTCTGGACGCGATACGACTGATGTGCGATCTACCCAGGTAGAGCCTCTGCAGATTGATCAGACCCAGGGCATGAAAGCACTCTGGGAGCAGACTGACCAGATGATTGTTCGACAGATCCAACACCTGGGTCTCCTCCCTGGCGCCCTGGGGCAGCCCATTCAGGTTTTTGTTGGCGCACTCCACCCACTCTTTGCCGCTTTTCCATTTGCACGTGCACATGCTCGGGCAGCCCTCCACCAATGAGGACGTCCATGATAACAGCATCATCGTGCCGAGAAGTGTCCCTCTCCACCACCATGCTCGCATGCTCGAGCACATGGTGCGTTCCGTTTCCCCGAGATTCTCCTTTCTATCTCATCTTATGTACTCGATCTCGTTTCACGCTTTTATCTCGTGCGCGAGCTTTCACCTCAGCTTTCTCTCGCCGGCAGCATCTTTGAGATCTTCTTGAGTTCGAGGATGGGAGGGGTGGACTCTCGATGAGTACGTCAGGTCCTTCTCCGATTCCCACCCTGAAACAACAATGTTCGATTGACTTTAGTACGAATCTATTAGTAGATTTCTTCTAAACGAAGGAAATGTTTTGACGAAAGGAGAAAAATTCGATCGAGTTTTTATGTTTTTCATTCCCTGTAATTTGATTTCTTAATCGTTTTAAAAAAAATCTGAAAAAATTTTGAGATACTTATTAGGTTCTTAATTTATTACATAAGTGATATTTTAATCAAATGTTTAAAATGTTTTGTAATAAAAATTTGACGAAATGTTAAGGACAAAATGAAAATTTTACTTGCAACAAATCTTTATGCTAAAAATATAATAAAAGTAACTCTTAAAAAGAATGCTATATAATATATCAAAATAAGGAAAAATTTATTAAGTTTCAAAATGTACAATAATGTTTTCCATTCTGACCATTTTATTTTGCAGTTGATTGTTATTATTTGTATAACTTTTTGTAATTGGTCTTAATTAAGTTGATCAATTTTAATTCTGATTAATCAAAATTAAATACAAGACACTGTTGTATATTTCGAGACTTAAGTTTCTTATTTTCTTTTTTCTTTTCTTTGATATTAAATCAATTTCTTTTAACTATCAGTCAAAGTGAAAATTTATCAAAAATAGATTTATATAATTTTTTCCTTTTAATAGGTAACAATTAACTTAATAATATAGGATTATTAATTGATAAATTCAACTTTAAATTTGCTCTTAAAAAGCATAAGTTATAAAATTTTATCAAATTTTTCTTTTATCATCTTTATTTGTAACTCTAGATTTTTTTACAGAATAGAATATTGATTATTGAATATTGAATTGATCATAAGAAAATACAAATACAAAATGAAAATATATATTTTATTTCGATATTTAATTTTTTCATGACCTATTTACAAATTTCTTTCTAACCAATTATAATCTGAAAAATTGTTTATTTAAACTTTTAAATTTTCTTAAGCTAGATAATAAAATCTTATCCTAATTTGAAAAAGCTATAATAATAATCGTAATTTTTAGTCCTTTCGTATAACATGATATAGGCTTTTACTAAATTATCATGACTTCGTAATACGTTTCATTTTAGAAAACTTACTCTCTGTCAACATGCTCTTCGCAAATAAATGTTCATACTTCTCTCATGTGCATATTCACGCTTTTTAAAACGATGAGGTTAGCATGTTCATCATTGTGCAAAATTTATGAGCTTGCAATGAACGAGCCAAAAATTAGGTCAGAAAGTTCCATTAAGGCTATTCTCTCGAAAACATCTCATTCTGTTTACCAATTCACGAGTTCATAATGTTGTCCAACGATATAAAAAGCAGAATAATTCTTTTACCCTTTTATATAGTAATTTTTTATAGCAAGAAATTTAAGATAATTGTTAATCGTATAAATTTTATATCTTAAATTTTACTATGTGCATTTAATTAGTTAAGATTTATTGATTACGAATAACAAATAAATAGATGATGTGTGAAAGGTATATTTTTCTGATTATTCTTTCAAGAAAAATATAAATGCATAATATATAAAATATAAATAAATTTGTAATATCTGTAAAAATCCATAGTTTTACCATAGTTTTATTTCGTCCCTATTGATATGAAGCTGATGTTAATATTTATATATATAATAATATATATAATCAATATCAAAAGAGAAATTAATTGTTAAATAATTCAGGGAAACAGAATTTATTTTATTTATTCGGTTTAGACATTAATTATTAATTTAAAAGTTTAAAAAAAAAATATAGATGACAAGATTTTTGAAAACTTTGAGTAAATTTAAACATTAATAAATATTTTTAAATATTAAACAATAATAAGATAATGCAACACTGAATCTTTGAAAAAATTTTAAAAGAATTTTAAATTTACAGATTCATTCATATGAAGTCAATATATTTTTCGTCTTTTCATTATTTTTTTTATCGAAATTTGTAATATCAATGCATAAATATTATATATACTTAAACATCTAATATCGTAACTAAAATTAAACTTATTACTTTTTTAAAGAACATGTGATATATTACTTTAGAATTGCTTAATTAAATTACGTATGATTAGATATTATTGCTTGCACTAAATGCATTAAATCTTTCGATCAGATCAGTATAAAACGTGAAAATAAAATTTCTTTTCGAATACTTTTATAAGAACTCAAAAAATAAAATCGTATCCATTGAGTATCCTAAATAATGTGAAATATTATTTATTTATATATAAAAAATAATATTATAAATCGATCCTACTTTTGTATAATGTAATATTAACAATTACAAAAGAGAGGACGATCGCAAATTCTTTTTTTTTCTTTTTTACAAAAATCTTAATTAACATTTTATAAGAGATTTGTGAATAATTGAATAATAGTGTATTTGACGTTGAGTTCCGGAAAGCAATTATACGAGTCACAATAGCGAAAGGATTAATTAGAATTTTATTCAATGCTCGAATAATTAACAACGAAGGGATGAAGAAAACATCGATTTCATTTGCGCACAAATGGAAATTCGGAATACTCTACAACTTCACATCGTTGATGTTTCCACAGATCGGTGTTGATACTGTTTCATAGTTGACGCACCGCCTGTTCATAATTAATCGTTCGATCCCACGTTACATTTTGAACAAGGAACAGGGGCGCATACTAATAGACGCATCACACCATCGTCGGCATTAAACCGCCTCGCTAGCTACACTTGGAAATTATACTATGGCGGACACGTCGTTAATTTCGATACAAGGGATCCGCTATAGCTTCTTCGAAGGTGGAAATCCTCGATCCGCAAACGATGGATCGTGAAGTTGGCCTCGGAATGTTGTAATCGATTCATCACGAGCAGCGAGTTTTCGATGGTGGCGATTGTCGCGCCATGCCTGACGCGCACGGGAACCCATCTCAATCTCGTTCTAAATGTTTTATTATCCATCTAAGACCGGCCGATAATCGATCAAAGGATTTGTCGTGGTGGAATTCTTGTCGAAATATCGAACGAATTTCGTGTTATGAGCGATGGATGGATTAGCGGGTTTAACTTAAGGGCGAAGTTAGTCTTGTAATTGCTGGTTTTGATGAATTGGAGAAAGGATTTTCTTTGATGAAGAAAAATTAGAATTATACGATTATTTTTGTAAATGAAAAAATAGATTTAAATAGATATATAAATGTATGGATAATAGATGAAATTATTTGTAAAATTAACTTTTGGAATGAAAAAATTTTTCTTCAATATTTATATAGTATAGTATAGTAAAAGGAAGTTCATTTTTCAAAAAATGAATATATAAAATGATGTTTGTAAAATAAACGATAAATAAATAATTCTTTAATTTATTACAAATTATTTGTAATTATTGCATAATTCGATTATTTATATAGAAAGAAATATTATTTTCTCAAAATAAATAATGATTTTTAAATTCGTGATATTTTACAAAATTTCTTCGTTAAACTCTAAAATAACGACTTAAATATTACTATAGAATAGTATAGAAGATGTAGAAGCTATTTTAATAGTTTTTGCTTCCTATTACAAGTTATGAATAACGAGAAAAAATTATTTCACTCTAATGCATCTTAAAAGCATATTTACTGATGCAATAAAGAAATACATTTTCCATAGAAAGTGGAAGAAAAGATATGAAGATATTTACGTTGACGTGCAATATTTCAATAACTATTTCAATATTTTTGATTGTCTTCGAAATATTCTTCATTCTTTATTTTTTTTTTTTTTTTATTTAAGCTCCACGAACGAAAAATGTGGAAAGAGAATGGTATATTTTTCTTCGATCGATAATGATGTCCGCAACGCTCGAAGCAAGAGATTTTTCACGTTATGCACTCTCGTGTTGAATCGTGTAAATTACCAGAGTAGCCGAACGATAAAGACAATACCACAAGTTTCAAGACTCTACAGCTCGTTTCCTGGAATGCATATCGTTGCATGTTACATGGAATTCAATCTCTATTATGCGGCAAGCTCGCAACCTCGAAATCTCAGGCAGAAGGCGGATTATCCGATCGAATTTGCAAAACATTAACTCTCTTTCTCTCTCCTTTTCTCCCTTTCGGTCGTAAAAATGCGATCAGGGATCCGCGAGGAGGACCGGATTCCCGCTTCTTTTATCGAGCGTATTTTATGGAAAAATCTGACCCGCATTGGCTGTGGAAAACTTGGAAAATCTTGGCGAGATGGCTTCAGGGAAGAGGGAATCTCACCAAGAGTGTAGGAAAGTGTGTAACTATAGAAGTTTGAAAGTGGAAGACGCGAGTAAAGAGAGCAACTTGTATCGCGTTGCAGGCAAACTTGCCGCATAAACGAGAAATTAATCCTTTTAGAAACTGTTTTTCGACCTATCATATGCTCGTGCTTCGTCGTTTGGTCGGTAAATGATCGGTTATCCTTGAACGTAGAACTGCAAAACAATGCACTGTCGCGTGTTGGCGTCTCTCGGTCGAATTCGGCTAAGTTCGGGCGTTGTCGTCAACGCTCGGGCGATCGCCAATTGATTAAGTGTAATATCGTAGTAACAGCAAAAAGACAACATAAAATTTGTAGGAAGGAATTTTTGGTATTATAATATATTTTATGTAATATATTATTAAATATTTTTAAACGCATATGACGGGCAAAATATTCAAAGTGCAATTATTGTATTTGAGGAATAAAAATCTTTATTTCAATTCGGAAAAATTTAATTTTGTATAAAAGTCTGTAATCTAGTTACGAGCAATTGAAATTTGCGATAAATGAATCTAGGTAGAATGAGAATATATTAACACTCCGTGTAATACAATAATCTGATTAACTGTCAGAATTTCTCTTCGCTTAGCTGTCGTGAAAGACAAATAGAATAGAATTAAGTTCAGTTTTTAAGATATATGCATAGTTCTTAAAATTCAATACGTATAACAAAATATAGTTTTTCTCATAAAAGATGTTTTTCTTTTTCTTTAGATTCCCATGAGATGATAAAATGAGTGATTTATGCAA